TATGTAAAGACCCAGTAAGATGCTTCAATATAACTGCCAACATATAAACGCCTAGGAGTGTTTAAATAAGGAGCAAGACATTTTTCTAAAGCCCTTTGATCAAACAAAAAACAGCATCATAAACACAAAGTGTTTCAGATGTTCAAGTTTAACCCTAAAACTCATGTACAGCTAAAACTAGCAGAAGTACTTTTTTCCTTATTTAAACAGCAGATTTATTAACTCAGTGTTTAAATTCATTAAGAAACAAAGAAAAAAAGAAAACAGACAAAGTTGTTTCATAAACAAGCAAACAGCTGACGTCCTGCTGCAGTTTCTCACTTTCTTGCTCTTCCATTAACCCACATAAAACACGGACATTTGAAACACAGCAATGCAGTTTTTGGGACAATTTGTTTGTCATGTCAACTCAGTTTATGCCATTCTCCCCCCCTGTTTTCTGACATGACCTTAATTCCCCAACACTGACAGATGAGTTCACCTGGGTGGGTGTGGCTCCAGTGGTGGAGCACTTGTCTCACAAAATAAGAATAAGAGGTTCCATTAGTGACCCCGGTCTTTGCTACTTGATTCAGTCATCTGTTTTTAACACCAAACTGACTGAGCTAACTTATTCTTAACTTATTATTACTCATTCTAATAGTTTCAGGCTTGTCATTGTTCCCACTTCACAAAACAAAAGATAAACGAATGTAAGTGCAGGTGGCGTAACCTTTGAAGTGAATGGTGGGAGTGACGATGAGATAAGAGATCTCAGATCTGTTTTGAAAGACTGAGATTAGAGCCTGAGCTCATCAGCTGAGCTACCCAGTGCCTTTCTGGATTCCTATCTCCCCTAAACACACACATCCTGGACCCCTGTCAGCACAAAACCCCTGAAGGTGGTTTGGTGAATGCAGGATTGTCACATTGTGAACTAAAGTGTGAGTCAGCCACCGCAGATCTGACATCAACGCAGAGTTTTTCCCTATCCTTCTTTTCAGGAAAAGGGAAGAAGGGCTCCATTGTTTCACCCACTCACCTCAGAGGAGCTGCAGACTGAGCGGCTGCTGTGTTTTCTGCTCGAATCAAAACCTCAAAGCTACGACAAAGACTGAAAACCACCACGAGCAGCTTGATTTTCTTACCGACACAGTCTGCTTCACTTTCATGCAGTGACGTCTGTCACAACACTACAGCTGCTGCAGGTTCAGGACCTGCGTCAACTACGCCTCACCTTGAAAATTCTGCATATAGAATCCATTATCCTTCCACATTTACTGTTATTAACCGGAACTTTGTGCACTCGTGCTTTTTCTTTCTCTTTTTTTCCCCCCACAGGAAATAACGTCGACTTCTCTAAAATCAAAAACACAATCAGTCCCAAATGTCCAGTTTGAACCAGGAAAAAGAACCTCTCCTCACTTCTTTTTCAGGGCCAGTAGATGAATCTGAAGGCCAAAGTGTCAATAAAGTTATGTAGAGCTATTTCAAACTATGTTTCTTAATGCCATTGTTTGTATTGACAACATATAAACATGTAAGAAATGATATGGTGATTCTAAATATCACATTATGTTGAGCTCTTCTTCAAGGTCAAATGTTCAGAAAATGTTGTATCTTTAAAATTTGCCCTTTACAAGCTCATTGTTTAATTTTAGAGGTTTACAAGAACATGTTTGCATGTTTCAATATTAGAAGAACAAAAAAAAAATCTTAACAAGGACTTTATCAGACAACTTCTTTGTTTTACAGTGAAGAGAATTGTGTTAACAAGTAAACGCTGGATTATAATCAGTCAGTTTTATTGGGTGAATTTGTGTCACTGTTTCAATCCTGACAACAAAAACAGGAAAGTGAATCATAAAAGCTTTATTGTGAATTTTGATGTTTTAAAATTCTGTTGATGTGCATCAGCAAAGCAATGGAGAAGCAAACAGGTTTGAGTACGTGTTATGCCAAACACTGATTTATCTGTTGATGGGGAAATAAAACCTTCAGTTTCTCAGTGACTGAGTTCACAAAAATGTCTGTGTGTAAGAAAAAAAACAGGTAATGTAGTGAATTTGAGATTTCAGGACATACAGACTACCTGATCAATTCTGCTGCGAAGTTTTTCTCTGATGAAAATTCTCTTTTCGTCCATACAAGCACACAAATAAACGCTCCTGAGCCGGGGGCTGTTAGGACTGTTAATGCATTTCAGATTCATTTTGGGAAGTCCGAATACTGAGCTCATGTTACAGCGAAAAAGAGAAGCGAGAATACATTAGAAATCAAAAGACTCCAGATCATGTTCAAGCGTTGCATTTTACACAGAACTTTAGGCCTGAATTCCTCATTTTTATTGTGCAGTCATCATGTTTTTGGTTTCATCAAACTATGTAGAACTTGTGGATAAAAAAGGTAGAAAAACTGCAACACAAGTACTTGTTCTTTTCTACTCCAGCTTGGGATTTCCCACATCATTTGACCTCTCCACGACAGGAGAACAATCTGCCACCACAGAGGGCCTCCATCAGGAGGGATGAAAAGGAGGAGACAGTCCCTGGAGAAGCACTTCAGCACAATACAAGCGGCGGCTCACCTGCACAAGCGGCGGCCTCCAGCGCAGGTTTTTCAGTGGAGCCGGCGTGAAGCTGGCAGAAGGTCCAGAGGGCCTCTTCTTCAGCATCAAGACAACCCCTCCAGACTCCGCCCTCAACTTCCCCACCAGGTGCTTTAGCTGCCAGCCCACCTGGACCAACCAGAGCAAAAGTCAGAGAATTGCAGCCTCTAGAGAGCGCTAGCATGAGGAAAGACCTTAAACTTCACGACCCTGAACTTCAGCGTTTAAGGAAGCATTTCACGTACTGTGAGCTGTGAACTGTCATGAAACCTGCAGAAACGGATCCACCTCTTATACTTGGCCTTGGTTTAGTACTGTCTGAAACAAGCTGTTTATTGGCTTACAGTCAGTTTCATGTAATTCACATCACATTTACACTTACATGATAATAAATATTTTATTAACATCAATGCATTTGCATTTTCATGATTGTAAAATCTATAAATCTCACCAATAATTATTTGGAGTATGTACATTTAATAAATATTGTGATATCTTCATTAGTGAAAAACATGTTAAAGCCAACTTCCTTCTGATTGGCTGCTCCTGCTAAAAATAAGCATATCTGAACTGTAGATGGGTGGAGCTTGTGTTTTCTTTGCCTATCCGAAATGGCTCAGAGTCTGAAGTCTGACCTTTTATTTCACAAGGCCACGTTTAACATGAGTGTTCACTGTTGTAGCACTAAATATGTGACAGAAAGGAAAAAGTCCTGTATACTGAAAAGTCACAACACTTCAGTTTATACATAAGACAAAATAAAGAAGATACAACTTGTCGCTTGAAAAAAAAGAGACAGCTGGACTTTGTGAAGTATGTGAATATGTTTCACGTGCCATCCAAGAAGATTGTTCTACAACTAATACCTGAGAATCCTCAGGTACTTGACACTACAGTCAAGTGTTGAAGCTACGTCCTGCCTCACAGACGTGTGTGGGATCTCTCCATCTAAGAAAATGACTAAGGCCATTTCCCAAAATGATGAGAAACTTGTGGCTATTCGACTCACCACTGTCTGTTTGTTGACTTGAATGACTTCATCTCCAGCGTGAATCCTCTGGGTTTTATCTGCCGGAGACTGAACAGCACACAAAGAGTTTAACAGACTAACATTTCATTGACTGCATGTTTCCATGATCTCTGGTAGTGATGAAGACTTTCAAGAGAGATTTTTTAAGTCTATAAATGGCACGTGAGTGGCGAAGAAGACCCAGAGGCTCACTCACGTTCTCTGTTGTTCCCGTGATGACGTGAAGCCCGTCGTAGGTGGATTTGATGTAAATCCCCTGAAAGATAAAACAGAACTTAAACATGGATCTTCTGCATAAATACACCTCCCACAGTTCCTCTGTAATTCCTCGCTGCAGCGGTGGCGGTGGGGGTTTCCTTTCTGGACCTACATCTGTTTCTGTTTTTGATTCAACGCTGGCTGTGGTTCATGGCGTAGCACTAAAATACCTGTTAGTGATTCTGAGGGGAAGTGGGGTCATATTGTGGGTTTTTCTTTTTACAGCAGTCAGTACTTATCGGACAGCGGCGTCCCGCTGACATAGCCCAACAGGGAAATGATCATTTCTGTCCCATTTGTGTATTTTCTTTTTTTATTCTATGCCCTTTAAAAAAAATCCTCACCAATCCCTCCCCAGGCTTGACATTGGTGATGTGAACCTCCTCCAAACAGGACATTTCCCTTTTTGCGGGGTCAGAAGTCGCTTGGACAGTCTTCTCACAGATGCTGTTGAGCGCTCGGGACTGAAAAACAAGAAAATATATACAAATAGGTTCAGCTTGTCCAATGGATGGATACATGCAAGTGTTCACCCAGTTATCAGGCAACAAGTGTATTACAGTGTGTTATTACACTGCTCACTCTTCTGTCCCATACTGCAACCCCAGAAATTATTTCAAAAGATACAAGTCTGATTCAGATTTTATACACTTTTATAAAACTGGAAGCCTTTTTGAAACCACAGGTGTCACCCACCTGGTAGTTATTAAAAAATGCCAGGAAAACATTGTTATTTTGTACAATTAGCGGTTTATAATTATGCATATACGTGGGTTACATTGATTTTGTATAGGTGTCATTCATTATGTAGGTGCGTATCTATGTAGGTTTGCGATATATACACCTGGGCCTTTCCATCCTCAAAATGGGCCCGAGGTGGTGACTATGCACCTGACTGGTTTGTGTAAATATGAGTTAAAGTCTGTGTTGCTTTATTTAACACCAGTTTTTCATATTGCTGTTGTTGGTTAAGCCCTACCCTGCTGTAGAAAAAAACATGTGCACAGTTAAGAATAAATGTGCTGGTTTGGATTTCACAATTGAAAGACTTGACAATAATTATCTTGTTTCCATGATCTAATCGAGAAAATTATTGGTTACCATTTTTTAAGTGGCGTTTCTGATCCTTGAACTGCAAGTACCGTTTTGACCATTGACCATATGCAACAATGTCTAATTATATAAATAATAAAATAATACATTTCTGACTGCTAACCTTCTGGAATCAAACTCTACACACCAGCTTGTACACTGCTTGAGTTTCACAGTTACATTTTAAACAACATCAACTGCATATTTGATTTTATGACTTGTCTTGTGGTTACATTTTAGCGTTTTATAGCTTGTGTAATATCGTTGGGCTGAAAACAAAACAAGGTACTTTTTGTCATGCGCTTTCTCTCGAATAAAGAATAAAACATGATTCAAGACAGAAAGCCATTGGCAGCATGGTGGTCTTAGTTTACATCTCTGATGATGACTATAAAGCGCTCTACATTTAGTCTGACTCTTGACGCCTCCGCAGAACGAGAACAGTCTCATATTATCATCACAAATGACCAGACACCCAGGCCTGGAGCGCAGCACCGAGCCCGAGCTCATGGGAAGCCGAGAGCTGACCAGGAAAACACAAACCAGCAGGAAATTACAAGTAAACCAGGAAAACATGCTCCTCTGGGGATATAGCTGGTCAGCTTCTTGTTGTTTTTTTTTCCAAATATGGTGACTTTATTGCTCCCCTTACAAAAACAAAGTAAATTTGCTTCGTAAATATTTATCCCATAAAGTACTGGAAATATTACTAAAAAAAATAATGCAAAACCAATGTTATACTTCAGCAGTTTTTAGGACTAAATCTGTAGTTCATGAAAGACACTTTTATTCACATTATACTCGCCCATCTGTCTCCATGAGAATTAAAACAGTGTGTACATAAAACATCAGGTCCATTTCCAGACATGTTCTGTTTACTGTAAGCTAACGGTGAGGAGGAAGCATAGTCCTAAACAGAAGCCCCAGGTACACCACCAACCCGTTCATGTGTCTAACCGTTTTTCCCCACTCGGTGACACACCCGC